ATGATGAACTGTTCCAACCTTTGAATTGGAGGAGTTCAAATGTGTGAACAGGGGTGAATGAGTTAAGAACAAAAGTAATCAGATTAAACAGGTTCCACTAGACATCAACAAAACTGTTCTAATTAGGGAGGTATCATTATACACAAATAATCTAAAAAATAATTCAATACCAGTAATTGTATGGTCTGATCATAAATTTCCTGTTACTTTTGGCATTAATCATAAAAACGTGCACAGAACTAATTCATTTCTAAAGAGGCGCACTATACATGTACACACTAGTTGTGAAACACCTGCTACAAACAAAGGGTAACAAAAGAAATGTTAAAGTTCTGTGTTTTAATTCACCAGGTACACGAATTGCAGGAATTCACCATGAAGTCATTTGACCTCTGATAAACTAGCTAGACCGACACAGGGTGTCCATCTCCCCAAAAGGACTACACACTAGGAAAGCTTTGTTAAAATGACATAGATTATGGTACCACAATAACGGACATTTGGGAAAGGGGGGTCTGCAGCAATGATATATCAGATTATATATTATAAATTAAGACAGATGCTTCTACGATGATAACAAGATGTTAGTGTTTAGGTGATGGAAACTAGATGGTGTTTGTATGATGACCAAAAGATGATGGTGTATGCGTGGTTACCACAAGATGATGGTGTATGCATGGTTACCACACACAAGATGGTGGTGTACACGCTTGGTTACCACAAGGTGATGGTGTATCTTATAGTGTAACTATAAGATAGCATTTTTATGGTAGCCACTAGATGGTGTATCCATGGTTACCAAAAGATGGTGTTGTATGCATGGTTACCACTAGATGGTGGTGAATTTGTGGTAACCACAAGAGGGTGGTGTACCTGTTGTGACCACTAGATGATGGTGTTTGTGGTGCAATGATGATGTGCGCTACGATGTGACAACTAACATACAGAATGGTGTTTAAACAACTGCCACTTGGCCTACAAAACTTAAGGATATATGCTACCTTACCCTGACAAATTGATTCTCCTTATCAAAAGAATTCTACACTGTAAAATAGTATATTTGACTATTAAATGGTCAATCATTTCTTAAGTGTAAGGTAGCATATAATATGACATAATTATTCTAATAATAAAGTTAAGACATCACTAATGACATAACAACAGTGTGAAATACTGGCATGCTTGATTGGCTTACTAACCTACAAATCTATTAATAACACTTCAATCTACTTCTTTCCTTTGTCATCCAGGCCAGTATCGAACGCTAGAAATTGCAGACTGAACTATTTCTTCGTTTCATTTTTAGGTGATAAATTAGTGATACAATGAATTTTGTCACTGTAACTTACTACATGACATATGTTTACATAACATAATTCTCTTCAGATATGCTTCTCAGCATAACCTACTAGAGAGATCTGTAAAACACAGCCTACATTGTATGGCTTCTACGTCCTACCCTAGCTGTTCTTGGCCTACTTGAGATAATGCTTTACACAAGAAGGATAACTCTCTTGTTAAAATCAACAATAACTTTGGCTTTAAATGGTTTCACTTTCAAAAAAATGAAAAACACTTTTCTAAAATGTAATGTTTGTGTTGTGTTCTGTGACACAGCATTCAACCTTGTGAATCAACCTCTGGATTCTCATCGTCATCGTCAACATCATCACCATCATCATCGTCATCATCATCAAATTCATCAAATTCATCGTTGATTTCTTCCTCCATTTCCATTACCTGGTCATCAATCCTGTTCATCTCCTGGACCATCTTCTCCTCCTGTTCGATATCGTCGATCTCGTCCGGAGGCGGACAGTTTGAACAGCGGGGTTTGTTAAGTCCGTAGTTGAGACAGGTATGGCCTACACACTGACAGCAGCCATGGTCGTGGAACCAACGGTACTGACTAGCTCCCATCGACCTGCAAGCATCCTTGCACTTCTGCATGGCGCTACATTCTGACATGAACGCCACCGTACAGTTAGTGTCCTCCTGGTATTCTGGTTTGGTCCTTTCCCGTTTACCTGTAATCACAAAAAAAGTCACAGTTCATTCTCCACCCTACAGATATCTCCTCCAACCAGATATCTCCACCCACCAGATATCTCCTCCATTCTCCACCCACCATATATCTCCTCCATAGGACTTCTCCACCCACCAGATATCTCCTCCATAGGACTTCTCCATCCACCAGATATCTCCTACATAGGACTTCTCCACCCACCAGATTTCTCCTACATAGGACTTCTCCACCCACCAGATATCTCCACCCACCAGATATCTCCTCCATAGGACTTACCGTATTCACCTTCATGTACGTTGTAGTTAGGTGTCTTACCTCATTTAACTCATTCACCCCTGAAGACACATTTGAACTCTTCCATTT